ACCTGACAGGCTGCGTCTCTACCAGGGGCAGGGGGCTCCTCCAGGTAAAGCTCATGCTGCTGGTCGGGATCCATACTTTGAGAACCCCTGAGCTACTTCTTTTATTTATTTAGTTTTTAAAGGAATCCTAAAGAGCTATGGAGGCAACATTTAGAAGCATTATGATTTTGAATGAGGTAAAAAGACACAGGCTATGAAACAGGGCTTAGAGCTCAAAGGAAGGCCAATCTAATAGAAAATATAGAATTGCTCAAATGCTCCACCTCAAATACAAGCCCTCTAATTGCCTGGAGTGAGATGAATCCTTCCTTCTTCTTTTCTTTCCTGGATACTTTCCACCAGCACCCTGTGGAGACCAGATGTCTGGCAGTCTCCTGGGAGCCCCAGCAGGGGCCCTGTGGCAAAATGAAAGGTGGTTCTTTCTCCAGGCCATGGGTGGCTTTTCCTGAAGGGAAGCATTCACAGCACTAATCAGGCTGTCAACATGCAGCTTGGGCACTCTGTGCTCTCCGAGGGGGTCCTGACATTTCTTAGAGTTTACATAGGGCTCAGGGAAGCCTTTAAGGACATTTTTTTTCTTTTTGAGATCATCTATTTCCTAATAGGATAGATTCAAAGGGAAACATGCTCTGATCATTCAGCCAACTCTTCTTGACACAAGTAACAAGGAACTAATTAGCAGGCTTGCTGAGGAGGTGGGCAGAAAGGAAGTTAAATATGACCTCAGGCAGGGAAGCCAGGTGTAGGAAGGGGCTAGTGACTTACCCTGGGTCACGGGTGTTGAGCAGGGTGTCATCATAGAAGGGTGAACTGATGTCTAGGAGTCTGCCAGGTATTACCTTGGCATCTATTGGGGCAGAGTTGTTAGTGGCTTAACCCTTTGGAAGCATTCTGACATCCACCCTCTCATTCGACTCTAACAAGAACCCTCGGAAACAAGGGAAATGGGAATGACCATCCCCATTTGGGTAATATAATTAAACAGTGTGGTTCAGCAAAAATAGTGGACATAGAATCAAAACACCTGTTCAGTGCTCCCTGTGCCTGACCAGCAGGGCTCATCCCTTTTTGGTTTTATCATCTGTGAAATGAAAGGGACAGACAAGGCAATTATGAGGTGTTTTGACAGGTCTCTTGTTCTAGGAATCAGCTGTGTAAGAAAGAAGATTTGTTCAAGGCCACACCTTAGTCATGTGAGTAACAACACAAGCAATTGTGTTTTCAGGCTGCCTCTGCTGAGAAAGCCATCAGAGCATCCTCCCATTGCCACCCAAAGCTATCTTCCCATCTTTTGGCTACAGACCCGTTAGCTGCCCTCTGGACCTTGCAAAGACTACAGAGGTTGCACAGTGGACAGACAGAGAAGGCTCCCTGACCGTGGTTTGGAGCCCAGTGTGACCAGCTATTCATTACTGCAGAGAAGTCTATTTGCTCTGGTAGCTCCTTCCCTAGACCAACATAATGGGCCCCTACCCCATGGCAGGCCCTGTGCCACATAAAGGAATATGGAAGCAAAAAAGCCATATTATCCACCAGGAGAAAGATGGAGGGGGCTGAGAGCCAGGCTGCTCCATAGTGGTGGGTAGGTCACATTTATCTCGGACGCTCAATCCAGTCACTAGCTGAACCATTTAGCCTATCCCTGACACTGAGATAAATCAGTTTGAAAAAAGGAACATCTCTTTTGGAAGCACAGGAAGGTGCTACCTGCAGCCCAGGTGAACCCAGTCTTCATCAAAGAAAACCAGGACCCATCAAACTTCAGGAGAATTTAAGTCTATTTAATGGTACTGGGAATATAACCCAGGGCTTGCTGTGTGCTAGGCAAGCATTCTACTCCTGAGCTAACCCCTCAGTGTAAGGTTAAGTTTACAAGACTTGGTTTGTAGACATCATTCTCCAAGCACACTGAAGAGAGCAGATGTCTGACCCTAACAAGTCCTCTGTCTGGAAGAATGATGAGCTCTTTTTCTAAGACTCAAAGCTTCTTGCCACATGAGTCAGTGAAACCCAGGAGCTTCCCATTTGCAGTGAAAACAGATGACTATTTTCTATCTGTTAAGTACAGTCAATGAAATTCTTTGAGAGTCATGTTTCAGGCACAGTGGTCAGAAATCAAGAGAGAAATCAAGATGAACAAGAGCAAGGGATGCTCTGCCTTGGGAGAGAACAGATGCAGTCACAAATACACATAAGAGAAGAGAAAATGAGTGTTAGAAAATGTAGGCTATGGGACAGGAAAAGGTGACAGGGATGTTCAGATGCAGGACAGGTTAATTTCAACCCAGAGTCAAGACAGACTTCCTGAAGAAAGCACCAACTGTCCCCCAGCAAGGTATGAGGGCCCAGTTCTAGGGCCCCTCCTGCTACAGCAGCATGTAAGCATGGGAACGCCATTTCTCTCCATTTTTAAATGGACCATTTGCCCTAAGTGCCTCTAAGCATTATGAGGATTAAATGAGAACTGATTTAAATGCACAATGGATAAATAAAAGCACCAAATATAAAGCCTTTTCATCATCGCTGGGGGAGGAAAGAGGGCAGGAAGCTAAAAGCAGAAAGCTTGGGAGGGAGGAAGCAGGCTGGGGGTGAGTAGCACCTGCCAAACCCAGGAGCGTGGGATGATGTGGGCACTACCAGGTTAGTAACCAGCTTCGATTTTTTTTTTTTTTTTACCTCCCACAGATAATTTATTGAATCCAGCCCATTAGGAGTAAGTCATAACATCTAAATTCTTCTGCACTGGGAAACTGAAACTCCCAACATGGGAAAGGTATGGCAAGATAACATCACGGACCACAGCTCTATGCTGCTCCCAGGAGCCCCTGCTCCCTGATGGGCCTGGGCTTGGTGGGTGCTGAGCAAACAATCCTGAAATGAATGGAGGAATCCTTACTGCTTTCCTAGGGATTCTGCCTTCATTCCCATTTTGATTTTTTACCACAAACCAGGGACAAACAGGGAATGGATTGGTATTCCTGTCAAAGATGGGGAAACTGAGGCTCCAAGGACCATTCACATCCAAACTAGCAACCACCAGAAGGGACCCCAGGTCCTAACATAACACAGTGGCATTTGTGCACACTATGCCATCCCCCTGGAATTATGACTACAACCAATCATTACCACACCAAACTCTTTCTGACTATAGTACAGCTACTACATGGTGTTCTAAATTATTTCCCTGTGACATTTCACTCAATCAGCTCCTTTCAATCAGCCATGGTGGCACATGCCTAGAACTCTAGTATTCAGGAGTCTGAGGCAGGAGGATCACCATGAGTTGGAGGCCAGCCTAAACTACATAGCAGTACCCAGTTGCAAAACTCCAAATCAAACCAAATCAAAATAAAACAAAAGCAGCCTGTTCATCCAATGGTGATTCTCCAATGTACTGGTTTATTCCAGTTTGAAAGTGTTTTTTATGGATTTTCTGGGTCTTTTGCTAAACAAAAACTGATTTGGTTCAATTGTTTGGAGTCATTGCTCTGTAGAAGAAAGAAAAGGAAGAAACATCCCAGGGCATTAGGAAGACAGAAAAGAGTCCTATTTTCTTCTTGTTGTTTTCATCACAGACATTTCTGCCTACAGGGTCACCCGTCAGTTTTGACAGGTGGCCTGGTTGCAGGAATAGGGGCAGAGGGCAAGCTCATGGTTAAGGTGGCAGAGTATTTGTGGCACTAATGACCAGAGGCAGCCGGGCTGATGTGGGGACTGGGCTGGGGCCCCAGTTCCAGGCCGTGAGGGTGGCACAGCGAGTCGGGCCTGCCTTGGCTGGGATGCGGTCCCACGCAGCTGCTCCAGGCTGATTGGCAGGAAGGGAGAAGAGGAGTGGGGCCTCAGAGCAAAAGCTGAAGCAAACTCAAGGTCGGAGCCACCCCTACTTTTCATCACCTTCTGCCAGCTCTTGTCCAAGAACAATCCACGGTATACCTGCTTCCTAGGGGGTGATTTATTCTAATAAAGAATTTCATAACATTGTTTTTTTGTTTGTTTGTTTTTTGGTACTGAGGACCTCATGCTTGCCAGGCGGGCACTGTATCCCTATTATATTTCTGGCCCTCTAATAAAGAATGTACAAGTACAAAGTTTTTGGTAGGAGACTGGAAGCCACTTTGCTAAGATCTCTTGAGGGGGTCCTGGTGATATGCTCACCTTGAGGGGCTCAGACATGCCTACACTGGCAGGCCCCGGCAGGGCAAGGGGAAGAATGCCTAAGAACCCACAGCTCCTGAAAGGACAGGGCTCAAGGATGAGGAGGTCTAAGCCTTAAGGGAAAAAATGTCAGTGTGACTTTGGTCTCCATGACATCTTCTGATCCATGGCTCAGATCTGACCCATGTAGCTGGGGGAGGATTTAGTTACCCACCACAGGGGATCTGAACAGGCCTCCTCACACCCACAGCTTTCCTAGCACAGTGTGGGGAGAGGGGACCTTGGGTCCCTGAACTGAGTCATTAGCTGGATTATGCATTATTATGTTAGTTTATCATTATTATGTTAGTTTATCAGATTAGCCATCCCTTCCCTTTCTCCACTGACTTGGAGGAAGATGGGTCTGCTTTGATGGAAGGAGCAGGTGGGACTGACCAAAGCATAGGATGGGAAGCCTCACCAGGTATCCTGAGCAGACAGGAGCGAGACAGCATGGTTATGTGGACAGCAGGGATAAGAGCACACAAGATGCAAGTTCACCAACCACACATTCCTAAACCCAGAGCTGGAAGAAGTTTTAGAGCTCATCTAGTCCAACCCTCTTTTTACACAGCCTGGAGTAATGGTCACGGCCACATGACAGAATCAAGACTGGGAACCATGTCTCTGTGCCACTCCCCCCAACTAAAGTTTTCCAGGCCAGGGATCTTTCTAGCACCTTCTAGCTGGCCCCAAATATTGACTGTTCTCTCCTGATTACTATGGGTTGAGGAATACCATCTGGAATGTGTGCATTCTTCAGGATTCTATGCACCACTGGCTGCAGCCCCTCCAGTGAGACATACCTTGTGTGAGTAATGCTGATCAACAATCCTTGCCAACCCAAAATCCCCAATCTTGAGCACAAGGTCCTCTGTGCTGATGAAGATGTTGGCGGGCTTCAGGTCCCTGTGCAGCACGTTGGCGGAGTGGATGTATTTGAGCCCGCGGAGCAGCTGGTACATGAACAGCTTGGCGTGCTCTTCCGTCAGTGTTCCCTGCTCCAGCAGGCGTGCCAGGTCAGTCTCCATGTATTCCTGGACGATGTAGGCCACACTGTACTTGAACAGCTCACCCTGCAGGTCGGTGCCCTTGGGCCCCAGCACCTCGTACACCTTCACAATGTTATCGTGGTCCAGGCGCCGGATGATCTTGATCTCCCGGAGTGCGTGCTTCATGCTGCGGGTGTCGCTCAAGGTGATCTTCTTCACAGCTACCTTCCGGCAGGCCCGGCTGTCCACAGCTGACAGAACCAGCCCGTTGACACCAAAGCCCAGGGGTTTGAAGTCAACAAAGCGCCCACCAAGGTCGTACCCGTAGACACTGGCGAAGCAGTCACCCTTCTCAGCCATTGTTGGCTCAGTGTCCTAGGACTGCCCGTGTGATGAAGGGGCAGGTAGGAAAGGCCAAGTTCTGGCTAGTGATTTCTCCAGCACACCTCATTTTGCAAAGTCCCGCAGCCGACCTATGCTCTTGCTCCTGGCATAGGTCCCCACTGGCCGAGTTGCACTGGAAGTTCAGGTTGTTTTCCTCAGTTGGGTGGGGAAGGCTGTCCAGCAACTCTTCTGCTTCCTGAGTCCTCCTTGATGCTACAATGGCTCATCCTTCCTGCAAATCTAGCATTTTAGATGGAAAAGCCAGGATTATTATCTGGGAGAAAGTGACATTTCTGAGACCATGGGTCTAAGAGTACAATATGCAGCAACTCTCCCCTTTGAATTCTTATTGTAAGAGGCAGTTTCTGGTTGAAGTGCAGGAGCTGTTTGCTGAGCTGTGTTCCTTCACTTAAAAAAAGTCCAAAGCTCAGCTGTATCAGAGTGGCCCTCTGTGTTCTGAGTAGTATGAAGAAATCCTGTCAGACAGTTCTGGAGACTTCTAGGGGCTTCTTTCTATTTCTGTCAGCTTTTTTTTTTAAATCAGTTTACCTCAGAATTCAAAAACCAAACCAGTCTGGTGAGTATTAGGGAAAAAAGCTATAGAAAGCCAAGTGCCTCTCATAAGCTTTATACCAAGTCACACCTGATGTCTCAAGTCCGAAAGGAACTCAGCTCCCAGGCCAGGATCCTCCAGAGCATTTGGATGTGGGTAGCATTCTTTTTCACCCACGTATCCACACCACCTTGACTGAGACTGTTCTGCTGTCCACAAAGGGCTTGCAGGAATGTGGCATCTTTCAGGCTGAGTCTCCTTCCCTGTCAAAGAAACAACGTTGGGTAAATTTCCACACTCTGGCTTCCAACACCTTCCCACTGCGTCTTTTGTTAACCAGCCCAAGTGTTATTTGATCTCTCCAGCCAACTGAAACACTGCTTGCTCAGGGGATTCCAGCTTTGCACAACTCAACACCCTCCCTGAGTGCAGAGCTCCCTGGGTAGAGAGGGGAGACAAGCTGATTTGATAAGACCATCAGAGGATGTGCTTTTTATGTCAGTGTCCAATCCCTCAAGGTTAGCATGTGCAGACTATGGGTGGGAGTCATCCCTTCTGACGTTTGCAGAATTAAATGGTTATGTTTTCCAAACACAGACATCAGCGCTAGCTAGGAAGGGTGAGAGTCAAAAGGAACAAGATGCAGACAGAAAATAAAAGATCAATAGTCTTGTTTTCCCAAGTGAGCCTCTTTTCTTTCTTCTTTTGCAAATGTTCTTCAATATTTTAAGACAAAATTTGTGTAGACTAAAATTTAGTGACATTTGTATTGCTTGCTTTCCATGTAGGTGGCAAAAACACACATACAAAATTACAAGGAAACTATACTCCTACCCATATAAAAGGTCTCTCTGCCCAGAAATGAGGGCACAGACTTCCCAGGACTATGCCAAGGCTGGCAAGGTGGGCTGTACTGTTTTTGAAAGAGCTATGAGGCTCTTTAAGGCAATGGGTCTAATCCAAACTTGACTGCCTCCCTCCTGTCTGGGGGCTATGGACTCAAATTACAAGCATAGGATCTAACTTTGGAGAACAAAACTTGTAAAACTAGCAACATCAATTCAGAACTCTGAACTGTAGCTTCCAAGAAAGTGGCAGGTTTTCTAAATTCATACATTCCATGATACACAGAGAAAGAACACTGTATCCAGCACACAGGAGGAAACCTGGCTGGGCTTCTTTATGCTCATCCTGCTGCAGAGCCCCCTGTAGGGACACTTTCCTATCTGAACTCTGCACTATTCTGCAAATGTAAATGAAACAAAAGCAACCATTAACTCAACACTCTAAAAAGGCAAATTACTGAACATAAATGATCAGAAATGGTAGTTATTCAGATTTCCTTTGAGAACTAATGAAGGAAATTTGCCAAGGGTCTGGAACATAGCAAGTGTTCAACAGCTGTTGCCTGTTGTTGCTGTTGTTAAAATTCCCTTAGATCTAAATAAGATGTCACTAACTTTGCTGATGACTTGTCAACTCTTCAGAAATTCTGCTCTGCAGTTTTTATTGGGTCCAGCAGCAAAACCATCATAGATGTATAGAACTTCTTACTGGGAAGGAATCTTACTGAATAAATTCCATGATCCTTAACTGGGGATGGTATCAGCCTCCTTGGCATCTCTGATTAACCAGATTCATTAACCATCCTACCAAGCAACTGAAGAACTGATATTCATCCTTGCATCTCTGACTATTGAGAACATCTCTACCTACGGGCTCTGATCCAAGTTCTCACTGCAAATGAGGACCATGGAGCTTTGGAAGCACCAGTTCAGTGCTTCTAGGGCTAACAGACATTCCATGCATGGATATGTGAATGCTGTTTACTCTGCTCATGGACATCTGGCCACTTGGTGCTGGGGCCACCCTCCAAGCTATTCCCTGGTCTGCACTAGTGAAATCCTCCTGGATGCCAAATTCTGGAGAACCAAAGCGCCCTACATCCCTATTCTGCCTGCGCTTTGATTCCTGCAACCAAGCTAGGTAAGCTTCTTACACTTCTACCCAGGCAGGTGTTCTGGTTCCCAAGGGCATAGCCAAGAGAGACATATTATATATATTGCTCTATGAGGAGAGATGCAAAGCTTTCTTTCCTTTCCAGTTCCCACTGGTTGCAAACAGACGGAATGGACCCCACAACATCACAGCAAACTGAAAGGATTTGGTGGAAATTGCTGCAATGCAGATAATGTGAATAATTAAGAAGTGTTCTATTTATTTTTAAACTTTCTTTTCCTCTCATATATGAGAGGGACTATGTGTATCTCTTTCTCAGAGGGCTTCCCAACATGCTGCCAGCCATAGTGGGCAGGTACCATGTTACCTTGGGAGGGCTCAACTCCAGCCACGCCAATTTACGTCTTTTTGAACCTCTAAATATACTCCTAATTCCTGTCTGGCTTTTCTGCTTGAGCCTTCCTGGTTCCTGACATGTTCTCCGGCTTCCTTCCCACTTGCTGACATCTTGTCCAGCACTCAGAATCCAGATGAGGTCTCTTTTCCTCTCTGAAGTGGCTGTCTCAGTTTTCTGAGACATTTCTTCCTTTTCTAAGGTCACCTGCAGTGCTCACCTGTGTAGTGTCTGGCACGCATGATATGCTAACCTGGGCTGCTGATTAGCGTCTTATCTCTGTTCTCCAGTTTGACTTTAAGCTTCACAAGTACAACAGACACAGCGCACAGAGGAAGTAACTGTGCACAGGAAGGACCCCAAGTACCATGAACTCTGCCTGTAGAACTGTGCCTCCCACATTTCCTAGATGGTCAGCGTGCCTCTGCCTCCGGCTGCTCTTCTCACAACATGCCCATCTCCTCAGACAAGACCACGCTCCTGAACTTCACCCTGTCAGCATCGAATTCCTCTCAGAACCTCAACACTCTATCCAGGCAGCCCTTGTCTGCCAAATTCTCTGTCCTTCTTTTCAAATCTCTTCATTTTAAAATTTCCCTTCTCTGATTCCTCTGCAATGTTTATTGTAAACTCTCTGGCATTCTCCACAAGTGGACTGATTTGCAAAACATCTCCTTGTGAAACCTTAGATTAGTGGTCGGGGCATGATATACTGAGAAGCATGGCCCATCATGCCTGGAGGGGGACAGAGTGGCACCTGGATGTGGCCTCCGTGAGGGTTCAGCAGCTCTCAGGGTGAAGCGGCTGCTCAGGACAAAGCCCGGCCATTCTCTATTTGCAGGTGGTGGCTCAGAGCTGCCTGGAATCTCAGGTATGATTTCAAGCTTAGGGAGCTGGTATTCACTATTTAAGACAGAAAGATCGCCTGTTCATCTGTGCTAGCATGACAGCTAGCAAAAGGAATCCAGGTAGCTCTTTCAATGGCTGCCTAGGCTCCCGTGACTCTGGGGCAAGCCTTGCACTAAAATGAACTTATGACAATGGAGCTTTAGCCCCCCACCAATTTCTCACTCCTGCAACAGTTCATTTGAAGCCAATTAATTATTCTTTCACTCATCCGGACCTTTTAACATGTGAACTCAAAGCAAGGACAAGACACTGGGCCAACTGGCCCTTTATGGGATTCCTGGGGTTCTGTTTTACAAATCGGCTTTGGAGAATCTAAATTTAGACTCACCTCCCCCAGCTGCTCAGATCCTCCCAAACCTTTATGCTTTGACTTTCAGCAGGAAATATGGTCCCCCTGTGAGGTGCTGACATTTCACAGATACTGCTTTCTCCCCTCTGTGAACCTTCACAAACCTGCAGTAAATTCTCAGGCAGGGCTGATATTTACAGTTGATTAGCTTGTGCACTGCACAATTTAGGTGGTGCCATTCATATCATGGTTGGGTCTGCCTAACTCCAAGTTTGATGGCCCTATCACTGGAGGCAATGTGAATGAAGTCCTCTAGATCAGGGATCAGTGCAGTTTTTCTATAAAAAGCCTAAGAATAAATATTTTAAACTCTGTAAAACAGACAGAGTCTGCATTGCAATAGCTCAGCTCAGCTACTCACTAATGCCTTTGTACCACAAAAGCAGTCACAGACAATTGTATGTCAGTATCACTTCAGTATCACTTCATTCATAAAACTAAGCGGTGGGCCAGCTTTGGCCTGCGGGCTATAGTTTGTCAACACCTGTTGTAGATTCTATGGGAATGTCCTCTAGTTTGTTCACAAGGAGGAGTGCTGGAATTGGGACTCCTTCCTGGATTTTTTTATACTCTCCTTCTTCAGCTTAGTCTCCCTCCTGCCCTACGTGGTATATGACACCAGGTGCCCTGCTGAGGGACCCTGCACCAGGACACACTCCAGGTGAGCTAAGCTCTCTGTCGGTTACGTCCTCAGGTCCAGCACTCTGGTTCCCAGAAGCCTCCCTATCTGGCCCAATGGTCCATCTCATTCTGATCCTGTGGTGCCATTGATGTGCCTCACTCTTAAATCCTCTTGTAGTCTCATAAGAGGCCTCTGGAATGATGGAAAGAAGCATGGTGAAGAGGGGAAAGGTGTCAAGTTGCCTATTTAACAGAGTCTAGATGAGGATATGGTGGGATTGCCCTGGGTCAAGAGTTTTATCTGATTATTTCAGGCAGGTCTGAAATAATCAAAAACAATAATCAGCAACAATCCTAAGGTTAATATCTCTCCCCCATGAAGCTCCCCGAGGAAGTGATTTACACAGTCACCCTTCAGCAGGTGAAGGATCTGGGATAGAAATCCAGGTCAGTCTGATTCCAAAGTCTACATTCTTAACACTTTCCAATCACATCATATTAATCCAAGAGAAGCAAGAGCTATCCAGGAAAATGTGACTTCTTAGGCCTAGAAAAGGCAAATTTTGGGGTAGGTACATCTTGTGGGACTTTTTTGTTTTTGAGATAGGGTTTTGCTATATAGTTCAAATTGGCCTTGAATTTGAGGCATTCCTCCTGCCTCAGCCTCCTGAGTGCTGAGATTATAGGCTTAGGACACTTGGTTTGTGTCCTAGAATTGATATGACTCTGACAGACATCAGCTTAATAAAATTTTTCTTTTCAAAAATGTACTATCAGCTTGGCATGGTGGTGCACACCGGCAATCCCGTCACCCAACATACTAAAGATCACAAGTTTGAGCCCAGTCTGGATAAGCTAATAAGATGCTCCCTCAGAAAGGGGCTGGGAATACAGCTCAGTTCAAATCCCTAAATTCTTTTTATTTCATTGTACTCAATTTTATTTTTGCTTTTCTGAGACAGAGTCTCACCATGTGAATGACTCATCTTGAACTCATTATGTAGCTGGCCTTGAACTCAGAACTTCTTAAA